TTCCGCTGCTGGACGCGCGCGGGCGCCGGGTGCAGTTCGGGGCGCTGTTCCGGGAGCGTCGCGCCGTGGTGGTGCTCGTGCGGCATTTCCTCTGCTACATCTGCAAGGAGTATGTAGAAGACCTGGCCAAGATCCCCAAGAGCTTCTTAGAGGCAAGTTTACCAAGGGCGCGGTGGGGGACTTGAGGTGCCTCCGCAAGGGACAGACGCGGTACACACTTGCGTCCGTCCTTACTTATTCCTTGCTGCCTGTTTCTAACGGTGCTAATCCCTGGGAGACTGAGGCAGGAGGATCCCAAATTCAAGCCCAAACTGGGCAATTTAAGATTTAGCGAGTCGCTGCCTGAAAATAAAAAAGATCAGGGAATGTAGCCCAGTGCGAAATTTCTAATTCATTCCCTAGTACCGCAAAAAAGTACTGTACATAATATAACTTTGATGTTACCTGGTAACCTCTCTATTCTCAAACATTAGATGATAATGCCCAAAAGCAAATGCTGGAGACTAGGTACTCCCTTTGTTTTATCTTACTCTCCAAATAGTTGTTCATTATAAAACACATACCTTAAGGGTGCCAATTTATATGTATCATTAGGCTTCAATTTCCCTGTGTCCCCCCACTTTTTTTTCTTTAAGCATAGATGGGTTTGGCTCCAGTTGAGCTTTATGTTTTTACTGGATTGAGGTGTTTTTTGTTTTTTTGTTTTTCTGTGTTGGGGCTCAAACCCAGGGTCCCACTAGACGAGATCTCCAGACCTGAGCTTCACCCAAAGTCTTAGGGGGACTTTTTGGGTGAAAGCATGGGGAAGCCTTGGTGAAACTCAAGTCTACTTTGAGCAGATTTTATCAATTAGAATGTGAAAAATAAAATTGATTAGCCCAACTCTTTTAGTTTTTATTTTTATATGTGTGGTTTTTAAAGAACATTTAAAATGCATTGGCAATGTTAAAGTATCCAAACATAGTTAATGCTATGGTCACCTTACTGTGCTATGGATTTCTAAAACATTTTCTTCATCTAACCAGAAACTTCATACCCTTTTAGCAACATCTCCATTCTCCATCTCCTTTTTGCCTATCCTCTGGTAACAGCTATTTTTCTAATTTTTTATTCTATTTACTGAGTAAATGATATGGTGCTCTACTCATCTTGCTGGGTCTGGTTTATTTCACTTAGCATAGCATTTTTTTTCTTTTGTCATAAACTGCTATTTTGTATGTTCTCTCTCTCTGTCTTTTTTTTGAGACAAGGTCTCTCTGTAATTCAGGCTGGCTTCGAACTTATAGCACTCCTCCTGCCTCAGCCTCTGAAATGCTAGTATTACAAGGGATTTAGCTCAGTGGTTCCACCACCTAGCTCACAGCACAAGGACCCAAGTTCAATCCCTGTTACAAAAAAAAAAAAAGTATGAACCACCATGCCAGCTGTATGTTTTCTTTTGAGAAATGTCTGTTCAAGGGCCGGGGATTTAGCTCAGCGGTTCGGTGGCCTGCCTTGCAAGCTCAAGGACCTGAGTTCAATCCCCAGTACCAAAAAAAAAGAAAGAAAGAAATGTCTGTTAAAGTCTTCTGCACGATTTTGGTTTGGGTTTGGGTTTTCATTTTTGTTTTTGCAATGCTGAGTATTAAACCCAGGACCCCATACCTGATAGGCAAGTGCTTTAACACTGACACACATCCCTAGCCCACTTTTGTCCATTTTAAATCAGATTATTTTCTTGCCCTGAAGTTGAGTCCTTATAGTTTTTGTGTTTTAGTTTCTTACTAGATAGCCATTTTGGAGGTATTTCTTCCCAGTCTGGGAGTTTTCTTTTGATTCAGTTTTTTGTTTTTTGTTTTTTGTTTTTTGCTGTGCACAATCTGTTTAGTTTGATACAGTCTCATTTGTTATAGGGAATGGGGAAGGGGACATTGCCAGAACCTCTACTGTGAGTCCTGGCCTCCTGTGAGCTACTGAAACACAAGGTGAAAAAATAAAGACAAGAGACTAGACTTAGGATGAAGAAGCTGAGTCTTGGGGCATGATCAGTGCTACTGATGGCAGCAAAGACAAAGACCCACAAGTGCATCCAGGATTTATTGAATACAATCGTGGGAAGGAATAGGAAGCTGTTATATTTGAAGGCAGCTGATGATATACTGCAGAACCCCTGGCATGATGATGCTAGGCAGGGCTGTTAGGGAGTAAGCACTGCTTATTTTGCTTGGATAGAACAAATAGGTACTGGAACTGGGTGAAGTTAGCAAGCAACTCATCAGATCAGTGAGAAACCATAATTCAGGGGAAAGGATTTTAATTGGGGTCATGCTGATCTGAGCTACACTTAACTCAGCAGAGCCCTGCCACTTCCCAGACCAGGGCCAAGGTTCCCATGGCAGCCATTAAGGAAGGGGCTATATTCACCCAGTGCACTATCTGACATGCCCATTTGAGTCATAGGGAGCTTTGGTCTGACTCCTGATATAAAGCAATATAGCTGAAGTATGGAAAGCAAGAAGCAGGTGCCATTCATAGCCTGCTAGTACTGGGCAGGGATGTCTGTTAGTTTGTAAGTTTTTGTTTTTGTTGCTTGTGTTTCTGGGGTCACATGTAAGAAATTATCACCCAAATGAAAGATACAGAGCTTTTCTCCTGTGTTTTCTTCTAGTAGTTTTACAAATTCAGTTCTTTTTTTTTTTTTCCAGACTCAGTTCTTACGTTTGAGTTAGCACTTCTTAGCAAAAGAATGTGTATCAATCAAACATTTTAGGAAATGTTTCTTGCTTTGACTCACAGTTTTCCTGTCCATTCCATTCTTCTAGAAGACTATAGGTGGCATTAAAATAAAATGAGAGTAAAAAAAAAAAAAACTGTCATGTAAAGGTACAAGATCCCAATAATGAATGTAACTGTACTGTATACCTAAAATGTACCCATAAACTCAATTTTAAAAATAAAAATTAAAAAATAAAATAAAATGAGAGTCAAATTAGAGGAAGTTGAATAAAATGTAATTTGTAATAACGCCTGTTTTTTTTTTTTCTAAAGGAAGCAGATGTCACCCTTATAGTGATTGGACAATCATCCTACCATCATATTGAGGCGAATATCTAGAAATTGGGGGCTCTAACAGGTCAAATCTGTTTCATATAGAAAAATTGCATTATTTGAACCATTGGATATAGGCTACATTGGCTAGAAGTAGATATCATTGCTGTTTTTTCATTTGTTCTTAACAAAAATTCCAACTGTTCTCTCTTCAGCCATTCTGCAAACTGACTGGATATTCCCATGAAATCTATGTTGATCCTGAGAGAGAAATTTATAAAAGATTGGGAATGAAAAGAGGTGAAGAAATCGCCTCTTCGGGTAAGATATAACACATCTCCGATATAATAGGATGATGGTTTATTTTTTTCATATATATGCTGGAAAAGTACTATCAAAAGAAGAAAGTGTGTTGTAGAGTGGTGTTTTGGGTGTGATACCATTCTTCTAAAAACACATTGTTTTCATAAATACAAATACCTACTGTGAGTATGTGTAATGAAAAGGTTTCAGAACATATTGTAGTGTTTACCCCAGGGTACAAATGAGAAAATTGGCTCAGTTGGGTTTTGGGGTTTTTTTTGGTTTTTTTTTTTGGTGGGGGCGGTATATACCGGAGATTGAACCCAGGGCCTTGGTACTGAGCTACACTGCCAGCCCTTCCTTTTTCCCTTTTTTTTTTTTTTTTTTTTTAAGGGTTTAGCTGAGTTACTAAATTGCCCAAGCAGCTTGCAATCCTCCCTTAGCCTCCCAGAGTGTTAGGATTACAAGTGTGCACCATCATGTCTTGGTGGCTTTTGTACTTTTTGCAGGTACACTTTGCTTTAGTGATTAAAAGAAAAATAATATTAAGTTTGCATATTTGTATATCTCAACACCGTGCCTTTAGCTCCTCTGTGTCCTTTAATGGAAGAACTCTTACATAGCATTGAAACCCAAATCAAAGAGGCTCTTATTAGCTCTTCAGCAGAAGAGATTGCACTCCCTGCACTTCAGTGGCACCTTATATGACACTGTATACACTATACTCTATACACTGTACTTATACACACTCTCTTCACCAAAGGGAGCCAGATACGACCGCGTAGTTAGCTGAAAAGGTGATATATATACGTGTTTAAGTCATGTATATTCCGTCTTTACCACAGTTCCTTGTTTTAGGCTAGCTAGTGTGATGGTCCACACCTGTGATCCCAGCTACTCAGGAAATAGGCAGGAAAATCAAAAGTTCAAGTCCAGCCTGGGCAATATAGCAAGATGCTGTTTCAAAGTAAAATTTTAAAAAGGGATAAGGGTACAACTCAGTGTTAGAGCCTTAGCATGTGTGAGGCCCTGGGTTCAGTCCCCACTACTGCGAAAGAAAAACAAAAGGTGCTTAGTAACCTTTAGTTGAACTGTTTGTGTATGTTTAGTTAGGAAGAACTTGGTTTCTCTTTTTAATTTTACTTTTATTAGGACATCTTTGCAGTGTCTAATAATTATATTCATCAAGGGAAGTTGGTACATGTATATAACACATCTTAATTCTCCTTACATCCCCTTCCCCTCCCTCCATTCCCTCCTCCTTCTTAGCATTTTAAAGTAACTGAAAAGTAAAAATAGTTTATTTACAGTACTATTTTGTGTTTGTGTTTTTTTATGCTTTACATTTTATATTTGTGTCAAAGGTATATAGATTGATTTAGTCAGACTTACAAACAAGTCTGATTTACAAACATTCTCCTAGAACAGAACTCACTTGTAAGTCAAGGACTTACTGTAGACGTTTTGGCATTGTGATCTTCATTGTCTCTTTCTAGTATATCCTTGATAATATTTGGAGTGCCAGTTTGGTGGTGGTGAATTATTATTTCTTCTTCTGCTGCTGCTGCTTTCTGCTTCCTTCCTTTCTTCTTCTCTTCCTCCTTCTCCTCTTCTTTGTCGTCTTCCTCCTTCTTCGTCCTCTTCTCCTCTTCCTCCTGCTCCTGTGGGCATACGCTGGCCTTGAACTTATAGCCTCCCAAGTACTGAGATTGAAAGATAATATTTCAAGATATTATATTATAATTTTTCTTGCGGTTCGAAGCACTTCAATACAAGCTCTCCTAGCACTAAGGTTTGTGTGAGATGTCTGCTATACTTGTAATAGATGTATCTTTTTCAGTTATTTGTTGCTTTTCTCTAACCACTTTTAAGATTTGGTTCTTGTGTTGGACTTCTGAGATTTTGACTATATGTTTTAGGAAAGTGTAGTCGCTTAGATAATATTCATTAAGTGGGGATCAAATGGGGACCCAAGTCATGTAGCAAGCATGCATAGAACAAACAAGGATGTCCAAGAAGGGATAGTTCAGGAACCTTTCCTACAAGGGATAGGTTAAGGTCTTGGTCTCGTACCCAGTGACTGATACCTATTTAGAATATAACTTACCACGGTTTGTTCATCCCTAGGGGAAGTATGCGAGTATAGTCATTCCTTTTTTCTTGAAGCTTGACCTTCAGTAAATGTGTCCCAGGCCACAGTTGTCTTCTGCATTGACTCCCTGGAGGGCCTGGCCCTGCGTAACTGCCTATAATAGATCTAATTAACTTAGCTGCTACAATAATGGCACACAACTGTAGTCCCAGCCCTCAGGCTGAGGCAGGAAGATTGCCATGAGTTTGAGGCTCCACAGTCTACACACCCTACGCTGTGGCAACTGTGTATCTTTGATCAAACCTCTGATGTCTGAATTAGATGTTGGCTGCAGGGCAGGCAGTTTTCTGGACCTGATGATGCCAGCTCTTTCAGCCCCAGGCCACTCTGAAATCCACACACAACTGTCCTGGTTTCTCATCTCAAGATTAGGGCCCTCATGTTCTTCCCAGCCTGAGCTTAAACTTCTCAGGGATCTATGTCTAGGCACATCCTCTCCACAACTGTCTTTTGTGGACATCTCTCTCCCAGGCATTGTGGTTGTTCTGTAGTTCTGTAGTTGTTCTGTATTTCATTATTACACAGTTGGCCCCTTCTTAAAATGGCTTCTAATCAAACCTTCTCAAATATGATGGGCACCACACTAGATTTTTCCTCCAACTCCAGCCACCATGCTATAAGAGTCACTTTCCAAATAAAACCCTGCACTTTTTTTTTTTTTTTTTTTTTTTTTTTTTTTTTTTTGCACTTTACAAAAGCTATGGACTTTTCTTGGGGCTAGTGCTGCCAGCCCAGTCTGTTAATTTCTCCCTGGAGCTGCTGATCCTCTTCAGGTTCACCTTGTGTCATTGGAAACAGATCTTCTCTTCAGAGTTGGGGTTAGTGTCCCAACTGCTTCATTCTTTTCCTGTTTTCTGCTCCATTTCTCCAGCATTTCTTGTAGTTTCTAGTTTTCCTGTCAGCTCCTTTGTGATTCCAGAAAGAAACAAGGACACCTCCAGTGGAGACAGGAGGTCAGTGGATTTGGGTATTCATGAGGCAGAGTTGCCGTGAGCCCCTCTGCTGGTGTTTTTAGCAAAAGTAGCCTAGGCTTTACTAAACCTGATGAGCTAGCATAAACACAAGCTTGTTGCCCTCCCTTCCCCACCCACTTCTAGCATAGGACATTTTAGCAATACAGACTGGGAACCTTACTTCTTGGTTACACTAGTTTCATGTGCTATAACAGTCTCTGCATATGTAAAGGCTGTTTCTCTTAGCACTATGAGCTTCCCTTTATTCATTCATTCACTGATTGCCAGTAAAGATACGGAGTTGCAAATAAAACAGGTGAATTCTAAACCAAATATATACATATAATTATAGGAGGACATATTCAAATATGTTTTGTATTTAAGTAGTATATATATCTATATATAAGTATATTTGTAAAAATATGTGTACATTTACATACACATAATGTATTTATGTAAGGACTTTATAAACTTAACATGTTGAGTATAAGATGTGTTATGTGTACTACACATAACTATACATAATATATATTTTTGCATTATAATGTTAAAGCTTATATTGGCAATGGAAAAGATTAGATTTTCATAAAATACTTTTTTATTTTAAAAAAAGTTCCTTGCTGTAGGGCATAAAGTATAAACCTCAGTTTTATTTTAAAATTAAAGCACTAAAACTATATAATTATCTGAACTGATGGCACCCTGATAGAGACAAAAAATAAGGAAATAAAGTAGTTAAATGTGAGGGACTAATTGATTTGTACAAATCTTAGACAAGAACTAAATTCAAATTGACAAAATTAGATTGTGCTTGACAACAAGCATTGTTTAGTTCTAGGCTGTAAATTTGTGGGTTATTAGCTAACCCTTTCAGACAAAAGGCAATAATCTGGATTTCTGAATTTTTTTTTGTGTACCGGGAATTGAACTCGGGTCCTTGTACTTATGAGGCAGTCGGCAGAAACACTGAGCTAAATCCCTGGTCCTGAACATTTATTTTGATTAAAAATCCTTTAAAGCAATAAAATTTAACCTCTTTTATATCTTTTTTTTTTTTTTTTTGGTACGGGGGATCGAGCTCGGGACCTTGTGCTTGTAAAGGCAGGTGCCGAAACCACTGAGCTAAATCCCCAGCCCAATATTTAATCTCTTAATCATCTCTCTTAACAACTCTGTATTCCTTTTGTGGTAAATATATATATACTACCATATATAAATACAAAAGAAAGGAGAGCTTGAGAAAAGAAGGGAAATAATATTAAGAAACCAGGCAGAGTCAAGTATGGTAGTGCACCCTCATAATCCCAGCACTCTGGAAGGTTAAGGCAGGGGGATTGCAAGTTTAAGCCTAGCAAGGAACAACTCAGTGACTTTGCTAAGTTGACCCTGTCTCAAAAATTAAAACAAAAACACGACCGGGGATTTAGCCCAGTGGTGCCATGCCTGCCTGGCAAGTGCAAGGTCCTGAGTTCAATCCCTGGTACCACAAAAAAAAAAAAAAAAATTTAAAACTAGAACAAAAGGGCTGGGGATATAGCTCAGTGCAAGGTCCCTGGATTCAATCCCAGTTACTACAAATGAAAAACAAAAGAAGAAGGAAAGAAAGGCAGGTCAAAAGCTGCATAATCATTGTGATACTATGAGATGATTGGCTGATTTTTATCCATAGTTCTTGGCTCATAGCTCTCTCCCAAGCAAGCTATAGAAACTAAAATTTCTCAGCTGGGCATGGTAGCACACGCGTGTAATTTCATCACTCGGGAGGCTGAGGCAGGAGGATCGCTGTGAGTTCGAGACCAGCCTCGGCTACAAAGTGAGTTCCAGGTTAGTCTCAACTACATAGTGAGACCCTGTTTCAAAAAACCAAAAAAAAAAAGAAAAAGAAACTAAAATTTCTCATCCATTAGGCAGTCATAAAAACTAAAAATATATTCTCACCGTCCCCTGCATTTTTGTTTCAGAGCTGGCCATAAAGGCATCTCTGACCTGCCTTCTCTGGCAGTTAGGAGGTCAGGAAGCTGGTGGGAAGGAGGCCGCACAAAATGAGAGGCCCGGCTGGGTCAGCGTTGGATCACGGACTCTGTGTCCAGCCATGTTTCTGAATAGCTGTCTCTGCTCGGTCACTTGCAAGGAAGTCTCTATACAAAGCCAGAAAGGGCAGAGGTCCTGGCAGCTGGCGCCTGGAGAAAAATGGAAGCTCCTTGCCCTTCCCCTATGCCTAGGCCCATGTAGCCCTTCGTCTCTACCCTTAGTAACGTCCTTCATAATAAAGTGGGACACAGCATTTTCCTGAGCTCCAGGACTCACTCACTGAACCCCAAGAGGTGGTGGTAGAAACCTGGTACACAGTTTGAGGTTTGTGACTGTCATCTGAGAGGTATTAGGGGCAGTCTCAGGGACTGAACGCTCAGCCTTTGTGACATGACACATGTCCAGCTGAACAGTGTTAGAATCAGACTGAATTCTGGGACATCCAGCTAGTGTCACCACAGAGGAAACCTCCCTTGCATCTGGTGCTAGAAGTGACCTGCCTGTGTCGTGAGACTACAATAGGAGAATAAGCTGGAGTCATCAGAGTAGAAAGTTAAAAGCAAGACAAGAAAAAAAAAGGTAGTGCCAAGAATAGTAAAGAATCTGTTTCTCTGATCAAAGGGAGTGGAAGTAAAGTTACCTGTCAACTGAGAGCAGAAGTAGGGGACTATCTGCTGATGAAGCGTGGCGAGGGTCAGCTGTGACAGCCAACTGAAGAGGCAGAATAGCAGAAATGCTTTTATTTTATTTTTGTTTTTGGTACCAGGGATCGAACTCAGGTCCTTGCATTTGCAAGGCAGGTGGTGAAACCACTGAGCTAAATGCCTGGCCCACTTTTATTTTAAATTTCAGGAAGGCTATATTCACTGGGGTGCCGCTCCCAAGCAGCAATCCTGGGGCTTCGACCTCTCCTTCCTGCCTTCTAAGGATACAAGAGAGTTGCTCCTGGGTGACCTTAGGGTTGCTGAGCTCGTTGGTCAGAATGCAGTCATGTGCCATTCCTACCTGCAAGGAAAGCCACAGAAGAAGGGTTGGCTGTGGGCCCACAAAGAGCAGTCAGGGTTTTGATTAACGTTTAACAGTCTCTTTTGCAAGGTGTCTTGAAAAGTAGAGGAGCTTCCTGTTAGAGATTGGACGGAGAGGAGTGGGAAATCAAAATGGGGGCACTACTGATTTCATAGTTCTACAGCTGACAGTTATCTTCCTTCCTTCCTTCCTTTCTTTGTTATTTTTTTCCTGTGCTGGGGATAGAGTGTTATAGGCAAGCACTCTACTACCCAGCTTTATGCTCATACTGCTTTCTATATGCTCTGGATCTTGCATCTCTTCTATGAAGTAGTGTTTCCGAACAGGGATGTTGGCCAGTGCCTGGAGACGTTCTTGCCCCACACTGCCCAGAATAAAGGATTACCTGGGCCAAAGTGTCAACAATGAAAAGTTGAGAATCCAGGCTTTGAAGGATGGAAAAAAAATGTTTTTAATTTTAAGATGTGAGAACGTTTTATAAGAGAGAGAATGTTTTATAGAAGTACCGAGATCTTCCAAATATCTATAACGGAATAGAAAATGGCCACCTAAAGATAGTTCTTGATATTTCAGGACAGAGTCCCCATGTCAAATCGAACCTCCTCTCGGGAAGTCTGCGGAGCCTGTGGCGGGCAGTGACTGGCCCTCTCTTTGATTTCCAAGGAGACCCAGCTCAGCAAGGCGGAACCCTCATTTTGGGCCCAGGTAAGCCTCAAAGCCCACACTGAGCCAGACTGTTACAAATCCAGGCCACCTGTTCTCCTTGTAAAGTAGAAAGCTATGAAAGCAGGCAGCTTGAGTTAACAGCATCTCTTGTTGTCAGAGACCAGGTACTCAGTGGAGGTGAGTATTTCTAAATAGGGGGAAAGCATCAAGCACTTTCTGTTAGTAGAATAACCTGGGTAGTTATGATACCTAACAGATCCAAATGGTTTGCACAGTAAAAAGCAAATTAGTGCCAGGAAGTTCAGTAAGAGTCACCATAGGCCTTGTACTTTGAACAACTTTATTTACTGGTCGTTTGGGGCCATCCAAGATTCCTCTGGCTCTATGCTGCTCAGTATTGAAAGCTGTATCTCCACTGCCTTAAGTATTTGGCAGTGCCAGAAAACCTAAATCATTAGGTTGTAAGCTAATTTCTCTGGATGATTCTTTCTCTTAAAAATGGTCCACGGTATGGCCAGACATAGTGGTGCACGGCTGTAATCCCATAGTTTGGGAGGCTGCAGCAGGAGTATAGTTGCAGGTTCGAGGCTAGCCTGGACTACATAGTGAGTTCAAGGGCAGCCTGAACTACATAGCAAGACCTTGTCTCATAAAACAAATACAGAACCGGGGATTTAGCTCAGTGGTTCTGCCACCCGCCTCATAAGCGACCCAAGTTCGATCCCTGGTACCACCAAAAAAAAAACAAAACAAACAAAAAAACTGAAACTAAATGAAATTGTCCATGTTAGGGAGTATAGCTTTTTAAGAATTATAAAATTAGCATCTACTTAATAAATTCCATATTTTTTAAAGAAAGGCTTTAGAGGGAAGATTTTGACTATTTCAGACTTTTTGGCATTTTGCAGCTAGAACACTAAAGCTACAATCTTCCTTTCTTTTTCATGAATTCACATGAGTTAATTTAAAATAAAGTCCTTTGGAGTTAGAGGTATAGGTCAGTGGCAGTGCACTTGCTTCCTGGATTCAGTCCCCAGCACTAAAAACAAAGAAGCCTTGTTTTATGAGACTGAGCGCCATAAATTTGCCCAGAATGTCACTGAGCTATTTGTATATGTGCGGCCGAAGCGAGCACATCACTGAGCTATTTGGAAGGAGAGGTGCTAGGCACAGAACTCAGGGCCTCACATGTGCTGGGCACGCATTCTACCACTGAGTTGTACCCCTAGCCCCAACTGTACTTTCCAGGGGTTAATTTCTATCCTCAGGCCTACAAGGGGTTACTTGTTGATCCCTCACCTTGTACGTTTCTGAATCACGTGTCCACACATTCAGCGGTGTGAGAATAAAAGGCACTTGGTGTGCACCATCTGTGTGCTATACTAGGGATACACTTAGTGAAGAGAATGCTTCAGTTGAAAGAAAGGCTGCTCTTCCAAAGAAAGGAGCTTGCTGCACTTACTGCACAAATCTATCACGTTTAACTCAGTGTTTTGTTCAACCTCAGTTGATAATGAGCCAATTTACAGCAGTGAACCTAAGATCACTGTGTCTGGTGCAGGAGTACAATACAGGAAATGGGCTACTTTATTGTTTAAGTTAAAACAACAAAAGGGTCCAGGGTTTAGCTCAGTGGTGCTATGCCTGCCTCATAAGTTCAAGGTCCTGAGTTCGATCCCCAGTACTGCAAAAAAACAACAACAGAAAAGTTAAAACGACAAATGCTCTGGGTACAAGAGTCAAAGTAAACCGAACCTAGACTATGAATTATGACTTATTTCAGCAGATAGCAGGATTGTGGACTTCTAACTACGTGGTAACTGATTGTCTTAATTCCTTAATTGAGAACTCTTTGGGGCTATGATCATAAAATAGCCTATTAAATCAGTATTTGGGAGTATATTTTGAACTGAATGATTTCTTCTTTTATTATTTAAGAAACACATAACAGTTTTCTTGCTTGAAATTTGTTAATCCTGTTCTCTGCCTAACAGGATGTTCTATTTAATTATATTTAATAAAATCTAACAAGTTTATAATTTAAGAACCTTTCCTCTTGGCTCTCATAAAACATGAAGTATCACTTGTATTTAATTGTAATCCTTGTCATGTTCTAGTGCCATAATTAGAAATGATTATGGCATTATAGAAAGAACATAATGTACCCCAGGTAATTAATTTTTCCTTTTTAGGCTAATTGAAAGGTAGAAAACTTCTTTGATTCTAGTAAGCAATAAATCTCCTGAATAACACTTAAAATGGAGATCTCAGCCTGGGATTTACCTCAGTGGCACTGCGCCTGCCTCACAAGTGCAAGGTCTTGAGTTTGATCCCTGGTACCAAAAAAAAATGCAGACCTCAGCCTTTAATTCTTATTCTCTTCTAGGTAACAACATCCATTTTATACACCGCGACAGGAATAGGTTGGATCACAAACCCATAAACTCTGTTCTACAGCTTGTAGGAGCTCCCCACGTGAACTTCACAAGTGGACCTTCGATTATCCACGTGTAATTGAATACAGACTCTGTCCCTTGCAGATGGGCCCCTGAGAACATAATCAAAATGAGTTATCAATGGGCCAGGGATTTAGCTCAGTGGTTCTGCTGCCTGCCTCGCAAGCGCAAGGACCCGAGTTCGATCCTGGTACCAAAAAAAAAAAAAAAAGAAAAAAAGAGTTATCAAAAATATATTTAAAATTTTATAATTTTTACAGTTTTATGCAAAATAAGTATAATATACAGAAGAAAATGTTCACGTTATTGAATTATAAATAGCATTAATAAAGGCCTTTTTGGCAATTAAAATATATAAACAGAAGCCAAGTGTGGTAGTTCATGCCTGTAGTTCCAGCTACCTGGAAGGCTGATTTGGGTTCATGAGCCCAGAAGTTTGAGATCAGCCTGAACAAAAGAGTGCGATCCCAATTCAGAAGTATATAAATAGTGGGCCTGGGATGTAGCTCAGTGGTGCTGAACCTGCCTGGCAAGTGCAAGGTCCTGAGTTCAATCCCTGGTATCAAAAAAAAGAAAGAAAAAAGAAATAGATAAATAAATATGAAATATATAAAGAAAGGGGAAAAACTGAACACTATTTACTTCAACTAAAAAATCTCAGGGCTGGGGATTTTGCCCAGTTGTGCCAACACCTGCCTCACAAGCACAAGGTCCCAAATTCGATCCCAGTACCTACCAAAAAATAAATCTCAAATTCTGTAATCAATATAAACATCTTTATACCATATATATTATATTTTATGTGTATATATATATATATATATATAGTTTATATCTATATATGTATGTATGTTTTCTATTATTAGGAGGAAAAAAAAACAGGAAATAAATACCAGAATATTGCCAGTAGGTTTGTATCTCTATATGATTACAGGTTTTTTCATTTGCCAAATTTTTCTGTATTTCTCCTTGTTCACTAATGAACATACCTGATTGTTTTTGGCCAGGAAAGATCTTTAAACATTTTAGGATAAGCACCTGCCCATATAACACCTCCACAGAGGTACCAGTTGTGTAGAACCGCATGTTTCCATCCTGATACAGCCAGTGACCAAAGCATCTGGTCACCGCATGCCCGCTCTCTATTCTACTGGGACTTTTTGCTGGGGAGAAGGGAATTGAGAGAGTTTTTGTGTCTCCCCCAACCACCACCAGGAATCAAACTCAGGACCTTGCACTTGCAAGGCAGAAGGCAGGTGGGACACCACTGAGCTAAATCCCCAGCCCTAGGGTTTGTCTTTAATGCAGTGCCAAGGATTGAACCCAGAACCTCACACATACTAGACAAGCACTCTACTACTGAGACTCACTCCTCCCAGCTCCTGCTTTAGATTTTTTTTTTTTCTTTTAGACAGGGTCTCAGAGACTGCTCTGGAATTCACTGTGTAGCCCAGGCTGGTCTCGAACATGCATCAATCCTCCTGCCTCAGCCTCCCGAGTGCTGGGATTACAGCCATGTGCCACCATGCCCAGCTCTGCTTTAGATTTTTAAAATGTGCTCGTTGGGGTGCATGCCTGTAATCCTACCACTCTGGGAGGCTGAGGCACAGAAGATTTACAAATTTGAGCTTCAGCCAATTAGTAAGACCCTGTCTCAAAATGAATAAATGGCTGGGGATATGAAGCTCAGTGCTGTGCCCTAGGTTCAATTCCTGGTATTAGAAAAGTAAAAATATATATATATATATATATAATCATCATGCTTTTAGAAAGGGAATTTTAAGAATTGTTTCAGTTTGTAAGGCTTTGGAACTTAAATGTACATTGTTCCTGGAAAACTGATTTCTCAACCCCAAATTGCTCTTACCTAGATGCCTGTTGCCATCTTTTATGTCTATAGTCTTAATATATTTGTTGGAAAGTGTCTCAAAAATTCTGTTAAAAGTAGAGCAAAATCAAAATTGGTAATTATTAGCAAGTATGATACTACTTTGAACATATAGTACTTTTTAATAAAGTGTCAAAAACATTTAATGTATCTGAATATTTTAAGGTATTTTCATATCTGTACACATGAGCAGTCTTGTTTTTAATCAATAAACTTTCTCTTGAAACTTTTTAATAAGGAAGACTTGATCTTTTGCTGATTTTCAACTTGAAACTGCTGAATCATAAGCTTATACAAAAATGTATGTATATATAGATCTTCACTATATTTTTCTAAGATACTCTCTTTTGTTGTTGTTTTTTAAGACAGTCTCATTCTAGGGCCGGGGATTTAGCTCAGTGGTTCCATCGCCTGCCTCCCAAGTTCAAGGACCCAAGTTCGATCTCCAGTAATGCCCCGCAAAAGACAGTCTCATTCTGTAATTCAGGTTGGCCTCAACCTCACAGTGATCCTCCTGTCTCAGCCTCCCCAGTGCTAGGATTACACACCCACTTTAAAATAAATATTTTTTATGTGACTTCAGAGAGGTACAGTTACATAAGTACAGTGCATTTGGTAAATTGCCTACCCAAATAAATGTGTTTAATGTAAAATTACCAGCCAGGAGTGGTGGCATGTACCTGTTTTCTCAGCTTCTGGGGAGACTGAGACAGAAGAATTACCCAGCCCAGGAGTTCAAGACCAGTCTGTATATGCAGGATAAAAGAGTAACATCATCTGAGCCAGGCATGGTGTGGATACCTACAACCCATGCACTTGGGAGGCTGAGGCAGGAAGATTGCTGCAAGTTCAAGGCTAGCCTAGACTACACAGCAAGACCCTGTCTCAAAAAACAAACAAAAAAGTAACATCTGACACTTTATGGCACTAATTGTTTGCTAGGCACTATCCAAGTGCTTCACTTATATTGACTGCTGTCACCATCATCACCCTGCTTCACAGAGAAGAAACAGTTTTTTTCAGGCTGACCTTAGGGAAAAATGAGGCAGTTCCACCAGGGTCACAAACAAGCAGATACCAGGCTGCAGACCATGTTTGAAGCCCGCTGCCCTGAGGAGCAGGAAGTAATCCCAGGAACACCAGGAGGACACCATTTCCTGGCCAACTGAAACACACCATCAAGAGTTAAAACCAAGGTGTCACAGCTATAGTGCTACACACCTATGATGCCCGACTGAGGGAGACTGAGGCAGGAGGATCACAAGGTCAAATCTCACCTGGGCACTTAGACCCTATCTCAAAAAGGGCTGGGTATGTAGCTTAATGGTAGCGTACCCCTGAGTTCAATTTACTGTCACCAGTAGCTCCTTCTTAAAAGTGGCACACCAGTATCTCCTTCTGAAGTTGGATTCCAGGTTCTCATCTTGAACAGAATTGAATGAAATGAGCAAAAAGTCGTGGCAAAGTTTATTTGAAAAAATGAAAGTGAAGCGTAAGAGAGAAACTGGCTCTGCGGAGTGAGCTTGGGCCAAGTCAAAAAGGAAAAAGCTTTGATTCCCATTTAATCAGTATTACCTGAGTGACTGTACTTGTAATCTTATTGGTTGGTCATGGTTTTGCCCCACCGCATGCCCATCAATTTTCCATTCGGTCTTACAGTTTTGTCCCACTTTGTACCCACCTCACCACATGGCTTTGCTGTATAAATCGTCTTGGAGAAGTGGGGTGAGTGGGTAACACACTTTCAGGTCCCCCTTCTGTCTCTCTTAGAAGCTCTCTTTCCCTCAATAAATTTTTCCTACTCTTAAAGGGGAGGCTAGGGATTTAGCTCAGTGGTTCCGCCGCCTGCCTCGCATGCACAAGGACCTAAGTTCGATCCCTGGTACCAAAAAAAAAAAAAGGAAAGAGCAATGTGATAGACAAGACTTTACCATTCACCCTGACCCAGCTACATATTCACTGAGAATGGGAAAGTATCTTTCCCTTGTAAGAGGCTTATGCAATAGGCTTAGGTTAAGGAGTGACCCCTGTACCCTTTCTGTGACTTGCACTTAGTTTCTTTCCTTGGCCTAGGAGAGGTTGGGGAGCAGGGCTGGTTACCTTGGGCCTTGAATGGAGCTAAACTCCCATTCAATGCCAGAAGCACCTCTCCCAAGTGTCCCAGCACCCTCTCAGCTTTTGTTTTCCTAGGCAGGATTAGTATGCCAGCAGCTTCTGCAGGCCTCAGCCCTATGCCTACACCTTGTATCCGAATTTCTTCTGTCCAGTGTCCCTTAGAACAGACACTTAGATATCTCAGGTCCTTTGTAACGCTTGCCCTTTCCTATGTAAGCATTTCATTTTTTATCTTTACAATCTACTTTAGCCTATAAGCCAGTTAATAAAAACAATGATTAACAAAGGAAAAAGCAAGATAAAAGTACACCCTGAAGAAAAATGGGTGGGCTATGGTGAGAAAAGCCACAATAGCAAGCTCTTGGCAGCTGTGTCCAGATTGCAGGGAAACCCCTGAGAGTTGCTTATTGGTCCTGACAGGTGGTGCTGGGATACCATACCTCAGGGTGAGGTCAGGTCATTTGAAAACCAGGATCTCATAATAGGTCACCCATATTTTCCCAGACAGTTACACCGCACCTCAGTCTATTTCAGTACCATTAAAACAAACAAACAAACAAACAAACAAACATTAAAAACAACCTAAATTCTATCTTTCAGATCCAAGACTTTAAGGGCTATGGCTGTATATAGTCAAGTCTATCCATAGGGCAAGGAGCCCCATGAGGAGCATCATTGTAAGCATTCTGTAGTGAAATCAAAGTGCAAGTTTAGTTTTAAAAATCACAGTGAGTTCTCATCCAAGGTAGGAAGATTACTTGAGGCCCAGAGTTTGAGGCCAGCCTGGAAAATACTGTGAGACTGCAAAAAGCAAAGTGAAAAAGGGTCATGCTGCCTGTCTCACAAGCACAAGGGCCTGAGTTCAATCCTTGGTACCAAAAAAAAAAAAAAGTCAGAGGCTAGAAGGTGGTAGATCAGCTCCCACTTCCCAAAAAGAGTTGATGTTCACATTTTTGATTCAGGAACTGGGACTGTAGCTTAGTGGTACAGCGATGGTATAGCATGTGCAAAGTCCTGAGTCCCAGCCCCAACACCACAAAAAGTTTTTTAAATTAAAACTAGATAAAAATAAATTTTAAAAAAATAATGTAGTTTTGTTTTTTAGGAAGATTCATGATGAACTAGTAACCTGAAAATGTTTGTTCATGTTCTCATTTACCATGGGAGCCAAAGTGATAAC